CATAGTAAAGCCATTATGTATATCATGAATGGGAAACCTGCACTAAATAAGTGGCATATAATACTTAATTATTCCTCTTCTGTGTGGGCGTAATATTGTTAACACTCCCAATAATAGAGAAAATGTGAGAAATGGCAAACAGGATCAAAGGTTGTGGACGCAAGGATTCCTCCTCTCAAAAAAGAGGACTCCAAGGAGGAAATTTGAAGTTAGTCTATACTAGAGGCAGTTATTTTTTTTTCTCGTACTTTTAATAATATCTCAGTTTATCTCAGAATCCATTCAAAAAATATCAATTTATAATTATATGAAATACATGAAGACGTACAAGAAGTTAATGAAATTATTCTGGACCTCCATTATAATGAGTACCTTATCATGTTACAATACTAATCTATGGGATGATGGACAAATAGTGTGCTTATCCCGACTTGCACGGGTTGCTTATTTATTACTATCCACTTAGTAGTATTTTTTATATGGTGTTTTTTCAAACAGAAACTAAAAAATAAAGAATGGATGAACTACAACTGAACCTTGTATTTACGTTGAAATTGCGTGTATAGAACCAACATATTTGTGATGATCCGAATTAATATTAATAAATATCTGGCTTATTTACTAGAGTTTTATGCTCAAATAATCAAATAGTTATATTTTATCCTACAAATGCTATCTATTTTCATTGCTAGGAGTTGTATTAACTTTTTATAGAACTGGAAATATAAACTTTATATAATTTATAGTTTGGGTTATATTATTTTTAGGTATTTTTGTTTTGATGGAACGTGGGTATATTTCTATAGTTGTTTACTGAGTCGCCTTATGCCATGCCTCCGTGGATGTGCAAATTCTCAGCCAGTTGACTTAAGTGAACTGTTAGGTCGACCATTAGGTCTAGTCTGACCTTGTGATTTCCAAAAAAGTGACCTATATTGAAGCTTTTGAAGTGATTGATTTGTTTGTCCTGCCAAAAGTCAAACTTATCGTGAAACTTCAAGTCCGACTTAATTTGTAAGTCGATGCAGTCGACTTATCCAAGTCGAATGCAGAGTCTGATTTATAAAATGTGACCGTTATACAGTAAACTGCTATTGTCAGATTTTTTTGTGAGTTTTTGGTCATTTCAGTTTGGGTTTTTGCTGAAGTTTTGAGTGGTAATAAAATACGCTCTTGTCTCTCCATCTTTCGATAACAACCAAGAGAGTGTTTTAATCAGAAGTTTTAAGACAATGGTGTTTACAGTGCTTGTTTAGATTTGTTTAAATAGTGTTTCAGAAGTTTGTTTTGTGAAGAAATTTTCCGCGAAGCTTGAGGAGATCTCCGATTGTGGTGTTGTGAGCGATTCAACTCTTCCTCTCTCTTGTGTCATCTGAGAAGTTTTTTCTAAACTCATATCTAGCTAGTTTAATTGTGTTTGGATTTTCCATTTCAATAAGCTAGAATTATATTGAGTGTAAAGTTTGTTTTATTTATCTCATTTTTACCACGCGCACTTGAGCTTTTAGTATTTTTTTTTACATATAGTATAATTGGGCGTTGTGAGAGTTTGTAACATTGGAGTTATGCTTAATTGAGTCATCACGGCTTGTTTGGAACAATAATTTTGTTGTAGTAGAGGCCTATAGTTGTGGTAGACATATTGTATTATATTTGACACGGAAAAAGTAGTTGTGGAGAGACGGAGCGGTTGTCCCAGAGAGTGGCGGTCGGGTAGAAGCTTAGAGGTAGTCGTCGATTTCGAGCACTTGAAGGGAACGGGCTGGAGACAACAACTTAGAGGGTGTTAGTGTATTACAAATTTGTGTCGAATTGTTTGTAGAGTGGGCTTATCGTGAAGTTCACCCTTGTAGTTACACTAGTACCCAAGACGGAGTTGTATGGTGAGAGAGTGATCGTCCAAGAGGAGTTGGGTTAGGTGGTAATGCCCTAGAGAGGTTGAATTCCTTAAACCTTGAGGAGACAGGGTTAGGAGACAACTGTGAGG